AAAGTGGGTTTGTTGTTCAGTTAGATATAAGTTTCAGCAGCGTTTTTTTGCCTGACGACTTCAGTCCTCAAGCGCCCTCAAGTGGTCAATTACTGTCATTCGCTTTTGTTTTTCGTGAATTACAGAACAAGTGCATTTTCATTTGTACTTAAAACATTTATAATCACTCTGACTAGTTAAAAAATTGGTTAGCTGAAAAAAATAATGTCAAATCTTAACAAAAAGAGTAAATCCCCAAAAATTGCATATTCTCAATATGAATAAACTTCTCATTTAAGATCACACTCAACATAAACCTGACATTAATACATAGATTCACTTGATAGAAATGAAAGTGGTAGAAATTTAAGTGATACAGAAATTTAAGTGATATAAATTATTTAGTGGGTATGATGGAAATTTTGTATAATGATGATCATATATTGATGATTGACAATTATATATTTATATTTTTAATTGATTGAAGTTTAGCTAAAATAAAGATCAAATGCATTATAATTGTTGGGCTATTACAGCCATGTGTAATCCCCGGCTTTCTGCAGGTTTCACCAAGTCAGATTTAAGATATTTTAAGACCTGTTCAAGGCCATTATGAATCAAATTTTAGACTTATACAGGATTAAACACAAAACATTTTTTCTGACAACCAATAGAAAAGATTTTTAATGGGCCCCTCCAAAAAAATTATAATAATAATAATAAAAATTTTGAGAAGTTTGAAAAGAAGTTTGTTATTTCTAAGCCACATATTAAATAAAGTGTCGAAACAAGCAAACTTAAGTTGTATACATGGACTTAAAAAATTGAGTTAAAAAATGTTATTCTTGTTAAAGGTTTTATTAAGATGTATTGTTGCAGATTGAATGAGTTGGATAATTAAGACAATATTTCAGTGAGTTTAAGACTTTAAAATTAGATTTTTTAAATTTAAGACCTTTTAAAGGCTTTTAAAGACCCCGTGGACAATTAAAAGATAAACTTTGTCTAACTTTTATTCAATTTCAGTTTTTTAAAGTGTATTCCTTGTGAACAGGAAGAAAATACATTGCCATTAGGAAAATACAACGGTAATAAAAATAAAAATGTGTACTAAATACAAACCAAGCATGCAGGGGAGAAATCTAAATCCCAAAAACTTTATGGTAAAATTATTCTGAACAATCCCCTGAGGGAATGATAAAAGCTTAATTATATCGAAAACTAGACCATCTGTAAAGCACATAAATGGATGCAAATACAATAGCACATAAAAAACATAAATAAATATTATTAGGGTTTTTTCCCCCTCGCCATTCCTTCGCCCCTCACTAGTTTGCTCGGATCGGAACTTGTGGAACTGCACTTTGATGGAGTTGCTCTCCAGTCCTTGAACTTTCAGCAGAGAAATTTAAACCATACTGAACTAAACTAAACTGAACTTCAACTCTGAAATCTGGACTTTACTAGAACTATGTTAAGCTGCTTTGACACAATCTACATTGTAAAAAGCGCTATATAAATAAACATGAACTGAGTATTATGAATAAAAAAAAAATTCAAATAGTAAAAATCAAAGTATGATTTGCCTTGTTAAGGTTTAGTTGTATATGGGATGATAATTGGTTTAAGGTTTATCATGGTTTGAAAAAGTCAAGGTTTTAAATAAGGTTATATCGTTCCTACGGTACATGTAAGACTTTTTTTTGTTAGCTTTTTAGGACAACAGTATCTTCAGCAGGAAAGATTTCCAAAGATGCCTTTTTTCAAGCTAATGAAGACAGCAGGCAATGATTTATTTAAATTATTTCGCATAAAATCTTTACTCTTCCAAAATATATTAAATGTTTCTTAAAATAAAATACGTTGTGTCCAAATGGGGGAAAAACGGTTTTGTTTTTACCCAGACATTTAAAAAGAACTTATTTTAGAGCAGTAATCACATTACCATGAAACCATGATATTTTTATCCATGTTTGTCATACTGTTAGAATCTTATATCGAGCAAGCATTTTTTGTTTTTAAAAGATGTCTAGATGTCTAATAGACGTCTAAGCAAAGTCGCCTTGCCTAAAACAAGACTAAATTTGGGTTGTCAGTAAAAATCTAATAGACTTGAATAGCCCAAAATTAGACTACACATACAAAGTATCTAATCTGTCTATTTGACGGCTGGTCTAGTTTTGGGCTATTCTTAGACGTCTAACAGATTTTCACTAAGTTTAGCCTTGTTTTAGCCAAGCTGTCAACGTTTAGATGTCTATTAGACGTCTATTAAACACAAAATTATTTGCTGGGTTCCAGCCCATGCCTAATACTTGCACATATCATGATTTAAATCCAGTAACTTTAGCAGGGGAAAAAATCTGAAATGTTTTTTCTAGCATCCAACCATTTTTTAAACGCTCAAACCTTTAAAGAAAAAACAAATGATGATCTGCCAATAGATACAACCCACAATCAGGCTCATTTATATTCATAAGACCAGAAAAAAAAAAAGATTTTCCTGTCTGCTAAAAGTGAGATATCATTTGTGGTTTCAACCAAAAACAAAAGAAGCAGTGGAAAACACATTTTTTTAAACAGTCTACAGGAAAACATCACCAATATTTTTTATTACTATTCTCCTGCCAACCTTAACAACAAGCAACCATATGCTACGGAAATATGGGGGCATTAAATTTAGTCCACAAGTTTCTCATTAGAGCAGGTGCACTTCTGAAGATAAACAAAAATAGAAAGCACATGCCATATATAGCAGTGCGGGTGAGACTTTACACTACTTTATTCCACTCTGAAGAGCCTCCTGTCAGGCCAACATCACAACATGTCTGACGGAAGCAAAGGATCAATCAGATTTTCGGCGTGTAACCATTTCCTGTCTCGGTAGACCAGCACATCCTCTAAATGATAACCTTTAGTTGATTGGAAGGATGTGGTTTACAGACACAACACGTCGCAATTATTCCATCAAACAGCATCCACCCACACACTTGTACGCATACACAAACGCCGGGCCTGACAACAACAGTGTAAACACGTTCTAGTGTGAGCAGGGTCAAAGGTACTTTCTTTTTTGATGATGGTCTACTTTAGATACTTTGTTGACTGTAGGTAACTCAACATCTACACGTCAACAAGCAAACATCTTTGCATCTGTCAAAATCATACTGAAGAATCCCATGAGAGATTGAATTGTTTAATTGTATTGAAAACTAGACCTGGATGTTAACAAATAAGCACATAAAAATATTAATAAATATTATGAATTTCAAATCATTTTCAAATACTAAAAATCTATTTATGATTTACTTTGTTATGGTTCAGTGGTATACTACCACATATCATAATAAAATCTGGCAACTTAAGTGGAAATACACTACCAGACAAAAGTTTTGTCATTGATCCCAGTTAAAGAAGCAACAATTAATAACCTGACTTCTAGTTTATTAGGAAAAGTGGCAGAAGGTGGATTTTTCTGATGAATCATCTGTTGAACTGCATCCCAATCATCACAAATACTGCAGAAGACCTATTGGAACCCGCATGGACCCAAGATTCTCACAGAAATCTGTCAAGTTGGGTGAAGGAAAAGTCATGGTTTGAGGTTACATTCCGTATGGGGGTGTGCGAGAGATCTGCAGAGTTGATGGCAACATCAACAGCCTGAGAAATCAAAACATTTGTGCTGCCCATTACATTACAAACCATAGAAGAGGGTAGATTCTTCAGCAGGATAGCGCTCATTATACTTCAGCCTCCACATCCAAGTTCCTAAAAGCAAAGAAGGTCAAGCTGCTCCAGGATTGGCCTGCCCAATCACCAGATACAAACATTATTGGACATGTCTGGGGTAAGATGAAGGAGGAGGCGTTGAAGATGAATAAAAAAAATCTTGATGAACTCAGAGAGTCCTGTAAGAACGCTTTCTTTGGCATTCCAGATGACTTTACTAATGAGTTATTTGAGTCATTGCAGAGATGCATGGATGCATCCAAGCTCATGGAAGTCAAACACAATATTAAATCTATTCCCGCTGCACCACAACTTTATATTCTATACTGCACATTATTACTGTTGAGTGATAAGACTTTTGTCTAAATAATGTCACACCTTACTGTCCTACAGTAATTAAATAACTAAAAATAAAGCATGATCATATTTTATTTCATTTCATTTTCTTGTCGGCTTAGTTTCTTTATTAATCCGGGGTCGCCACAGTGGAATAACCCACCAACTTATCCAGCAAGTTTTTACACAGCGGATGCCCTTCCAGCCGCAACCCATCTCTGGGAAACATCCTTACACACATTCACACACACACACACTCATACACTACGAACAATTTAGCCTACCCAATTCACCTGTACTGCATGTCTTTGGACTGTGGGGGAAACCGGAGCACCCAGAGGAAACCCACGCGAACGCAGGGAGAACATGCAAACTCCACACAGAATTGCCAACTGAGCCGGGGCTCGAACCAGCGACCTTCTTGCTGTGAGGCGACAGCACTACCTACTGTGCCACTGCTTCACCCAGATCATATTTTGTTTTGGTAAAATAAGTTTAATCTAGAGGCCTTTGCTTTTAATATAAGCCACTTCTGATACCAACTGATCAACTAGAAGTCAAGTTATTATATGATGTTCCTAAAACTTGGATAGTTGACAAGACTTTTGTCAGGTAGTGTCAAATTCAGAAACTATTTCTTTTCCAGCCTTCCAAACATCTTCCAAACAAACTTTCAACACTTTTAAAGGAAAAACAAATGATGATCTGCATCAAAAGAAAAGTACACAAAATACACATTGTTATTCTTTAGGTAAACAATAAATCCATGTAAATTAATCCACTAAAAAAATTTTGTTTTGGTAATCTTCAATTAAATCTGACGATTTGCTTCTGCGTTTTGAGCATCAATCCTTTTCTGTTGATGTCAGTATGCAGCAACTGACCAATAAGAACCATGTATTACAAAGAGAATTGTAATAATACACACTTCGACAGGTGGAAGACAGCACATGAAAGGTTTAGAACTGGTTTATTGTTTCTGAGATTAATACTCCGTTAGCTCTTTGTATGAGGTGACAAAATAAAGCAGAAAAATGATTAGTAAAAGAAGTACCATCTTTCAAAACCTCAATAGCACTGGTTGAGTTGTTCAGAGATTGTTTCTTAGGCTTTAAATAATAAAAAAAACTATATACTGCATAGATCAAATTATATTTGTATGGCAAAGCTCATTTTTTAGCAAACATTATTACTGCAATCCTGAATCAACTCTTAAAATAAGCGATTCACAATTAAGAAATCCTCAGCTGCAATATTTACACAAACAAGTTGCCTCTGCACAAAAAACAAAAAAGAAAGCTCAAAAAGCATGCACAGTGTTTTCAGAAAGAGGTCTGTGTGAATTACTCACAAAGAAAGGGATAGGAAAAGGGAGACAGAACAACCAACATTGGAAAGAAGTCTGTCTGTCACATCAGTCCATGACAACAACTCCTGGAAGACTTTAAGGTCAAGGGTCAAAGGTGAATTCGGCCCTGGCTGCGTCTGGTGTGCTGGAAAATCTGAAAACCAACACATGACTGAAGTCAAACATTATAGCAAGGGTTCTGTCCAGGTACAGTGTAATAGTCATAGTGGAAAGTGTGGAAAATCTTTGAAAAGTGATGAGAGAATCTCTTCTTTATATAAAATCACAAGAGTTTAAAAAAATACAATGATTAAACAAAATGAGAGCTATAAACTGAACCATTATTGTCCAAAACTGTTTTATTTATTAACGGTGTTGTTTCTGGCACCGTGTTTAGTCCATGCTGAGGTGACTTTTTTTTTCTGAGGCTGCAGCAATGGATACATGGATGAAACACTGACATCTGCTGGCAGAATGTGATACTATAAGGGAAGTTTTTAAATGAGCACTTTTCCCCTAGTGGTTATGACATGCACTGCTTTCATTACAGTGAGAAGGGTCAAAAATCTCACATTTACATGGTCGAACATCTATTTGTTACTATGTCTTATTTTTTGTACACTCAGGAAGGTCAATCCCACTTACCCAAACATGCAATAAATCAACTTATAATATATAATGACAACACTGCTACTTTGAAACAACAGCAAACGAGTGTGTGCGCACAAACATGCAATAACAATCAAATACCAGCTTGTTCTAAAAATCTGAAAGAAGAAGTATGTCTGTATGCATTTTAGAAATGTCAGATTTTCACTGGGCTTTACAAGTGCACAGCAAATGGTAAGGCTTTACAATAAGAGACACATAGTAAATGTTAGTTACTGTATTTACTACCATAAACAATACTTGCAGAGCATTTATTAATTGTAGTTTAACGTTTATTAATGCATTAGTTAATGCACACAAACAACTTTATTTTCATTAAGCCAAAAACCACCACGAACATAACAAAAGGGTAGTAAATTTGACCGCATTCGTGTTTTATCGTCATGCTTAAAAAATAAATAAATAAAATTAAAATAAAAAAAGTTAAAATAAAAATTGCTAAATTTTGTGAACTATAATCCATACTCATAACTCCTGTACAGCAGTCTCACAACTTTCTGACACTCGAACACACTGGAGTAAAACATCCTCAACAGCACATAAGGGTTAACTAACATTAACAAAGATTAATAAATACTGTAATAAATGTTTAAAACATATTAAAATATAAATGAACTATAACAGCGCAAACTTTTCTGTAATCGTAGTAATGCTGTGCGTTATTTGTTCAACCCTTTAAGGTGACATGCTGACTGACAGGTGCGTGAGGCTAGCAAACACGACGTAGCTTTCAGTTATGATGAACACAGTTTTCATATTTGTACTTGTTTTATAAATAAAGGTCTGTGGTCTGCATACAATGACTTTATCTGGCTGGAGTTTACAGCCGTTTCACTTTACTTTAGGATGCATCAATACCGTTCTATAGGTCTATTGGAGACATTCATAAATATTCCTAGCAAATCTAATAAATGCTGGAGACATACTTGTTACATAACTGCACAAAATCGCACTTCAGCGGCGTTTATTTGAGAGTGCACAAGAAAATCTGCACTTGAGGGCATGCAAGTTGTGCACGAGCAGAGGAAATTGTCAAACAAGCAAAGAGATTTACATGCTTATATTACATAAATACGATCTCGACTTGTAAAACTGCGCTCACAACATTTGCCATTAAAGTAACGGCCAGGTAGTTGGTAAATCTGTGTATAAAGCCTGATTTATACTTCTGCGTCAAGTGACCGGCGTAACTCTTGGCGCATGCAACGCGCATGGCTGTGCATTTATACTTCTGCACGCTGTCTCTGTTGGTCTGCATTAACACTTCCGAAACGCTAGTTGGCAGTGAGGTGTAAATGCTCCTCTGTGTCGAGTTTCTTCGCTGCAATTTTGCTTTTCCTGAACACTTCCGGGGTGTACATGTGGCTCAAACTCGCTCATTATGAGGCAGCAACCGGCGGACAACTTTAACTATGAGGTAAACACAAAACAAAACTTTCCATCCGGAGCTCCTTCACGGGACTCCACACTTGTAAACAATCGCTACATTGGGTTCGTGCCATTCGTGCGGCTCTCGGCCCCGCCCCGACTCATCAGCGCTAGGCTTGGGCGGTATCCAAATTTTGATACCGTCAAACCGCCTTCATATTTTACCCCGGTTTCCGGTATTACCGGCGTAATAAAAAAATTAGGACGTAAGGCTCAGACAGCGTCACCAAACTGTTGGCTTGAGCCTAAACCATTCAGAAAATTTATACCTTCTATGCGACCTTATGCTCGCGGTCAGAGAGAGAGAGAGAGAGAGAGAGAGAGAGAGAGAGAGAGAGAGAGAGAGAGAGAGAGAGAGAGAGAGAGGTGCTGTGCGTCGCTTGTCTCTCTCTCTCTCACACACACACACACACACACACACACACACACACACACACACATCTCTCCCGCGATTTATTCAGAAATTTACTCCCACACCATAAGAAATCTGGCCGGCTCCCGCGGTACTGCAGCGGGAATGCAGAGCTGTAATCGGGCCATAAAAATTATACCCGATAGGTCCCGAGTCCGACAGGTTTATAAAGCCCGAACCCATTTACAGCCCGACATTATTCATTATTCATGCACACAGCTCTATTGCATTTTTTTAAAGAATAAGTCATTTATATGTTTTAACATCATTTATTCGTAACAAACGTAGACTAGGCTATATGCCACTTGAAAGTTGGAACAAAGAAATAGCTAAAGTAAGTCCTCTGTAACATCGTAACATATCAGCACTCTATAGGTCTAGGTAGATGCACTTAGCCTTTAAATTGGCCAACACACAAATGAAAAAAAATCTTTCTTAACAAATCAAATTAAAATAAACTCTAAATGATGACAGGTATTTTGGCAATAACGAAATTAAGATAAAGGCTCTGCAAGGTTTGTTTCTCAACTTCTCTTCACAATCTGGCATTAAGGCGGCGGTGAAGCTGAATATTAAAAGAATAATGCCACCATTAGTCTGTATACTCTGTCTACATTATGATTATACGTTTTAATTAATATTTATTTATAATTTAAAAACCCTTTACTCACCAAGATTAGGCTACGTGTGTTTGTGGAGGAACATTATTAAATCCACAGGCTTTAGCGCAGTCCTGCGCTCACGGGGTCCAGCAGCTGAACACCCTTTCCTGCTGCTACAGGCCGAGATGCAGAGTTCTGATCTGGCTGATTTTGCAAGTTTTGGGTTGGATTGTTTGTTCATCTTCTACCAGTCAGGAACATCCATTTAATTTTCCATGACAGCAGTTTCATTGTAGCGAGTGGCCTCGTCTTTTTACCTGTCAGCTTGCGGTTTAGGGGTCTACCGTAATACGCAGTGTATGAGCGACCGCGAAATACCTGCGGCTGGAATGCGCTCTTTCTGAGCTAGTGACTGGCTTGACCGCCGTAATAATTCGCTTTTTTTACTACTACATCATTTGTTTCACCTTTGCAGGGATGGATTTTAATGCAGGGATTTGGATTTTTTCGGGTCTCGCCGGGTTCGGGCAAAGATCTTCAGCTCTAATGCAGACCTCTCGTTCATATTAACTACATCTCCCTTCTGTTCAGTCGAAACTGCCAAACTGCAGGACACTTTGAAGCGCGACACGTCACATCACCTCTCCCTCTCCCCCTCCCCCTCCCTCTCCCTCTTCCTCTCTCTCTCTCCTCCACACTGTCCCGTGATGACAACCACACATACGTTTTTGTAGGCATTAAATAAAGGATATTTAATATTTTATGACGGTATAACGGTATTGAAACTGACACCGTTGCTATTTTTAGATCCCGCGGTATACCATAATACCGAAATACCGCCCAAGCCTAATCAGATCTACCAAGCCGACCAATCACAGAGCTTGCGCTACGCATTGTTGCGACGTGTAGTTACATTTTTTGAGAGGTGCATGTCAGTGACGGCGAAGGGCTATGCGTCAGCGCCGTAGCATACGCCGGTGTTTGACGCAGAAGTATAAATCAGCCTTAAGGCCTGCCGCCACAGCTGGAAAAAATCCTAGAGGAAACACTGAAATGCGTATAAGCAACGCTGAGTAGGATAAACTCTTTATTCGATAAGAAAAGATGCGCACAAACTACGATGGAAACATTTTTACCAAATATTCCAGTATGTGCATTAAAGTCATGTGATCATGTGGTGATAAAAAAAAATGTGTGTGAATGAACAAACCAGCAGTCTGAGCATATTGTAAAACATCTGAAATGTCATTTTGGTCATTCTAAAATGCCTTAACCATTTCAGTATTAGTGTTATTATATTATTAATGATCTTCAGAATTGTCAAGAGCATCTGTGCTCCGCATCTTACGTCTTCAAACGCCACCACGCGTTCATTGCGCGTCAGCCTTGTCTTCTGAGGCGCAAGTAATTTAACAAATAAATAAAAGATTGATGCAGCTTCTCCTACTACAGCAAATTCTGATTTCACTTTAGATATTTAGGGCCAGTTAATTAGTAAGTGATGATTTTGTTCTCTTTGACTCATTGGTTGGAATTTATTTGTATGTCTTTTATGTGATAATCCAGTTTTGCCCATGAATTTAATTCACATCTTTGGTTGGAAACATATCTACTGTCACATAAACAGCACTTTCGCCATCTAAAGTACTTAATCAAAACAACACATCTCAAAACTTATGTTAGAGAAGTTTACCTACCCTAGGAGTGTCTGGACTGCTGAAAGGAGAGGGCTCAGCCGAGTGGTTCTCTTTACCAAACGAGTCGTCTCTCTGCCTGTGTGCAAACTTTCTTTTCAGGGCTTCGGCGATGAGAGCTGCTGGATCAGATGAACATGCTACACCTTTGCTTCTCCGTCTCCTTATTGGAGTTCCTCCTGGAGATCTATGAATACAAAAACACACGTTTACTATTGAGCTTAAACTAAACACTTAAAACAAGCTTTACAACTTTCAATGCACACCTCTCGACAGAACGCAGTTTGACCTGATTGAGGTCCCTCAGCACCTCTAACATTGAGGGCGCTGTAGTTAAGGATGGACCACATTGTGCAAGCGTTTCTTTTTTTGCTGCCTGTCTTTGTTGAATCATTTCCGACATGGACACTTCAGTTCTAGTGGGCATTGCTGGAGGAGGAGGAGGTGGTGGAGGAGGAGGACAGACAGGAGTTGAAGTGAGGACAGGAGCTGGTTTAGGAGCAGAGCAAGGAGTGCCAGGATCAGTTGGAGAAACCACAGGGCCTAAAATATAAGGATAAGCAGTAGATTTAAAAAGTTATTAGTGGAATCATTGATTATTTAGTATGTATTAAACAAATAAGATTTATTTTAATCCATATTAGATATAACACATTTTATCATAAAACAGTATTAATGTACATTCATTTTTTTTTAATTTTTAAATAGTAAAACATATGTGACGCTCGACCACAAACCCTTTTGTTTCACAGCTATATTTTTTTGTAATAGCCAAATGTTCCATGGGAGTGATAGCTTTACATTTTCAACAAAAAGTGATCACTTAGGTTTAATATTTATACAAGAAATGTAATAATTTATATTTTGTATTTTTTAAGGGAAAAACATTTCCTAAAAGAGTTTACATAATTATATTTTTATATATATTTTTTACATTAAATTATTTTTATTAATTTTTATTTTATTTTGATATTATATATTTGCGAGAAGATGGTAAATGAGATGTGTTTATAATAAGGTATGTCCACATAAAACTGTGAAATGTGACGGTGGAATTAGTTGTTTATCCAAAGTTATATATTGTTTACTTTATTTAGAAGGTTTAAAAAAAATAATAGAATAAGGTCAAGTCCTTTTTTAATAGTCAAGCTTATTTATTATATAAATCACTGTAGTACATTTTCTGGAATAACTACCTTTATTAAAAAATATTTATTGTGAAAGATGTCATAACGTAAAATAAACTGGTCAAACTGCACGGATTAAAAAGTTAAAATGATCTAATTTTTCTTTTATGGCAAAAATCATTAGAATATTACAGGGCACCTAGGTTACCCCTTTTTTCAGATTTAATATGTTTCTGTAAAGTTTCAGCTCAAAACCCCCATCACATGTTTTATTATACCTTTTATAAGATTCTATTTTACACATTTTTTTTTTTGCACCAGGTGGCTGTTTTGTTGTTTTGTCTTTAGGGCTAGTCCTCCCCGCCCACCGTTTCTACGTGCCTTTCTGAGTGCCTTATTCTCCTCCGTCATCTGCGTCAGACAACAGACAGACTTAAAAGAAGCAGATGTCACGTAGCGTTTGTGAGAAATACTACAGTAAGAACTTTACCAATAATTATTTGATGCATTTGTTGTGTTAACTTGCAACGATGAGTCACACACAATGTCATTGCAAAGTTCAAACTTTGCACTCTTTTTGCACGCATAAGCAACAGGATACAGGTTATCCCATAAATCTCCACTGCTGTATGAATATCTGTTATGTTAATGTACAAAATAAACCTGATTTAACGTCCTCAAACTTTGAATTTGAGGGATTGAAGCGTCTTCTTTTATAATTGTTCTGACACGCGGCTGTGGTGATGAAGTAAAGCTGAAGTAAATGGCTGTAATTCATTACACACATGCTCTGTTTTAAAACATTTTAAAGTTGTAAATCACACTCTTCTTGATCACATTTGATGATGATTTATGATCCTAGCAAACTGAACAGACCTTATATTATTGGTTGCTTTGCGCACGTCCTGTCTTGTTGATATGATTATACACGTGACTACCGGGCATGTTAATACGCAGTTTTCAAATCAATTTGGAGGGAGGGGGGGCTGCACTCCTACGTCAAGTTGCTGTCGGTCTGAAAACCGCTCTAAATGGTCCACCATTTTTATGTTGTTAAATTGAAAAAAAAATAAAAAAAAGGACTGGGTGTGTTTATATTACCTCAATAAGACTATAGTCTATACACTATGCCTACACATATGTCTGTCCAAACAGCTTGAAAAGTAGATTTTTCAGCATAGGTGCCTTTTAAGTAAAGATTGTGTTCCATGAAGACATTTTGTAAAAGACATTTTTGAGATTTTCTCAATAGTTCATTTTTTTTAACACTCAGATTTCATATTTTCAAATTAGCCAAATATTGTCCTATTTCAGCTTTTAGATTATGCATAAACCTCAATTTAAAAAAAAAAATTGAAACTTATCAGTTATTAAACTGATTTTAAGTCCCATGTTTCATTCATCTCCTAATATATTCTATAATTTTTAAACAATTTAAAAACTTGATAGTAAAATGTTTGTTTTAAAATTCCATCATTACAGTTTACACAATCTTTTTGTAATATCTTATTGACATTTTTCCCCACAATTTAATCACTTTTAAAATAGGAAATAACTGTTGGCAGCACACACTGCCTTACTTTTAAGATATCTCAGAAATCCAGCAATTATATCAATGGAAGACTGACATAATAGGCTATTGTACCTGCTGGAGCTGTGATTATGGTAGCAATCTGTGCTCGAAGTCTCTGAAGTTCCTCCTCCAGAGCAGAGATCTTCAGGAGGGCATCAGGCTGAGTGCTCTGTGCCAGGACCCCTCCGCCTCTCTGAGCTTTTACAGACACGGACCCCAATGAGGGAGTCTCATAACCGTGAGGTACACACTTTTTCCTCAGTGGGACAGCATTCCTGTTATAAACATATAAAGATGCGACTTCTAAACAGACGTTTTGATTGCTGAAACTTTTTTACAGTACATTTTGAGATATTAAAACATTTAAAATAGGTATGTAGTTTGAAATGTAACGTAATCCAGTGATTTAAGCTGAATTGTCAGCATCATTACTTCAGTGTCACGTGATCATTCTAATATGATGATCTGCTGCTCAAGAAATGTTTATTATTTTGATCAAAACATGAAAATGTAAAACATAAAGGGATGCATAATATACCATTTAAGCATCGATATCTCAATGTGTGTCCACCATAGTCACACCGCGGGACATGCAATGTTTAGGGATTATAGCTGATCAGCACAACAATTGAGAAAACATTAAAGATTTATGGATTCATTGCAAAGTATAACCATAACAGGGTGGATCTTTATCATTTGCATGTGTTATAAAGGCATTTAAAGAGAATTAAAGCATTCGACCACAAAATTGTACAACATTTGTAACTATAATAAAGAATGATTACTTAATTATTAATACAATGAAGACAATACAGTATTATTTTACATTTCATTATTCAATTTCTGTACCTGAATACTGCTTGATTCTCTGAAAACCATAGAGCACTGTTTATTCGACTTTTTTCTTTGCTACTGTGGTTGTAATTATTCTTGTTTGCCATTTGTTTATTACTTTAAAACTTTATTACTTTTACAATATTATTTATTACTTTTCATATTTATACTTGATTTACACTAACAAAATCACTCAATCAATCTAAATTCAAGATTTTTCCTAAATAGAGCTATTCAAGCCATCTAGTGAAACTGTATTCATTTCACAATATAAATCACAAAAAAATATATCACTATGTCAGATTTTTCCAATACCGTGCTGCCCTAAAATGATACAGGATTTTGAATGCAAATTCTATTGCAAAATATTTTTCTTTATTACATTTTTGATCAAATAAATGTGACTGGTGAAGAAGAGAGCCTTCTTTAAAACAAATTAAACTTAAAATCTGGCAGATCCTAAATATTTGACAGGTAGTGTATATTTAGCACTCAAAGCAATGCTGGCCTGTCAGTGAGCTATTAATAAACACTTGGGTTTCTGATGTGACTACCTGAATTTTGTGTGACTGTCTCCTTCATCCTCGACCAGCCAAAGCACATCCGCTAAAGTAGGAATGGCTGGAGAGTCCACTGACACATCGATATGGCTGTGCTTATTAAAGGTCTGCAGAGGAATCTTAAAGGAAGAGTCAGAACACATTAGTGAGGATGCTCTTAAGTCCTTTGAAGCTTTTTGCATGTTAAAGTGCTTCACAAAACTCTTATTAACAATTCATACTGAGAGAAACATGCATGTTTTGTACACAAGCGTGCATTAAGCTTGAGTTACAAAAATGAGGTAAATGCAAATGTATACTTCTTATATATTTTTTCTTATTTCATTTATTTATTGAAATGTACAAAACATTATGTAGACTGTAAGAATACAAAAAGTATCAAGACTTTTTTTTTTACAATTAGCCAAAGAAAAAAATAATAAGAACAATAAAACAAATAAAAAAACAACCCACCACCTCACCCATACATGAGGCACAAAAAAAATAATTTAAAATATGATAAAACATTGAATTGAAACAATAACATAAAACAAGAGAACGTTACAACTACAACAACAAAAAAAGACTAGAAAAATTAACAATTATTATACACAATAAACAGTTATTAAAGTCTAACAAAGGGAACTGTGTCAAAAAAGGGCCTCAAACAAAGTCTGCGGGCTTTTGTCTGACAGAATAAAATAAAATATATTTTTTCTGAATTTAAACTAAGCTAAAAAAAAAGCTTTGAGATTAAAAAAATGTAAAGGTCAAGACATGGCAGTTAGATTTGTTCTTGAAAACTAAAATAAATAGTTTTTTCTAAAAATGAAATGAATCTTAAATGAAACAAAATGTAAACATTAGACGACAAAAATGTCTCTGCAACTAACTAAAATAAAATGCTTAAACTAAAGAACTTCAATTGCTAAAAGTTGAAAAATTGAAATAAAAATTAAAAAGCTAAAATCAAAATTTTAAAAATCATCAACAAAATAAACATAACAAAAGTACATATTACACTAGGCCTGTGCGCTAAATCAAAATCGTATTGCAATTTGAAACGTTGCAGTTAGTTAATATCAAGAGGCTGCAAAATAAAATATGTACAGTTAAAGTCAGAATTATATACAAAAATAACGAATACCATCTGAGGTGAAGTGCTTCAAAACCAGTCCGCAATGCTATTAAACATGCTAGACTTTCTGCGATGGTGTCGTGAGACAACGCAGACATGGTATCAGTTGTCATCAACTATGCCATTACACGAGAAGAAACAATAGACTCTTGTCACAAAATTTTTGCCATGACATACAGATTATTGAGCTGAAGCTTGAGTTAAATTAAAATCAGCTTGAATTAAATCATAAACCAAATCACAATCCCAATCTGTCCAAAAAAATAATAAAAAATAGCAATTAGATATTTACCCCAAATCGCACAGCCCTATAATACACTGAACATATACAAACAATAAAACGAAACAAAATAGTGCCAAAATTGGTAAGTGGTAAAGTTGGCTTTATATTCTCACATTCGTTCAGTGACAACTTGCTTCCTATATGGTTTACCATGGTACTTTAAATATATTCAGCCTGAAATCACATGCAAGTATGACTTGAAAACAGCATTAGCTCTATTTATTTGCGTGTGAACAATGTTGTACTTTGATAGTCATTTGCTGCTAATATTATTTCACTATTTAGATTATGTAAATAATACTTTTCTGAAATTATATTATTAAGGAGAATGTTTGAATGTGTTAATATAAAACAAACTTTACCTCAATGAGTAACTACTGTAGTTTTTATTGATAGTATTCTTATATATTATTTTTAGTAGCAGTACAAATTTATTTCTACAGCATAAAATACCTGAAACCGCAACCGAGGGTAAGGAGAAAGAGGAAGATTTGTTCCAATCATTCGGACTAGGCTTCGGTACTGTCCACAGTGTGTACTTTCCCATACTGGAACCAACTGCAACAATACACACAAATGCACTGTTAATAAATTATAACTTTCATTAAATAACTTTTTTTATGTACTTGATTGTCTCTATACCATGTCTGGAGGCACTCCAAAATATTCCAGAACACATTTCAGCAGGTCAACGATGTCCTCCAGCAGAGACATTGACTGTGTGTGTGTATATTTTGCACGCTGGATTTCTGCTGACGGATGAACTAACAACACACAGACACTGCACCAAACTTCTCCACGTGACCAGAGGGATCAAATCAGCTGCATTCCGCTCAACTCTGTAACAAAACCCGCAATATAAAGATTATACATTAATTCTGAAATACTACGATAAAACTAATGACATAAATGCAAGATAATAGTAATCAAATGCAGCGGTAATTACCAGCATCGTCAACTGTCCTACCAATGAGTGCGTACGAAAACACACACACACACACACACACACACACACACACACACACACACGTATCTCAAACATATCCTATAACGTTATTTCACTTTTGGATATGTCTACGTTTCATTTAATCCTACGGTCGTCTTATTAAATGCCGTTTATATTTACGAAGACAATTTGTTTAATTAATGTTATTCACTTTACCTCCTCGCCGTCTCACGCTTCCCGTGCAGGTAAACTCAAATAAAGCTCTTTCTGTGAGGGCGTTTGTGATTGGTCCGGGCGGTGGGGTTGGCTCCAGTAGCCAATCAACTTGAAACATTTAGAAACGATGTCAAAGACGTTAGCCAATTATTTCGTTTGAACAGAAGGAGTGGGAAGTTTCGTATTTGTTTGTGTGTGCTGTTAAAAGTAACGGTAGCGGTGAGTACAGTGACAGTGTAAACTGATAAATTTAATTGTCGTATTAACATACACGAAGGAGTGTTTTGAAAACGATATGTAACAATGTTAACGTGAATAAATATAGATGTTATTTAATTTACAGTAATGTTTGAATAGCAATTTCAACACTTTAGCTGTTTTGCTAACACGCTATTAGCGGTAGTGTTTTGAGCATGTGTGCTATTCGCGTTAGCTTTTCTGAAGTCTCATGTTACCATGTGTGAACAAGGTGTACTTTTAAGGTCTCATTTTTTTCACGTAGTTGTTAATGCCTTATTATTGTCGAAATTTTAAAAGGCTATTATTGTAAACGGTCACGTGATCGAAACGGTTGAAATGTGCACAAAATAAAACAGAAAACATGCATGATACGCCCATAACATAAATACGATATTAAGATAGCATAATAAATAAAACAAATGCTGTGTTTTGTATAGAACAAAACCACAATTCATAAATCACATCTGTCCAATAGGAATGTAGCTTCTAGGTATCAGTAATGATTAAATCACACTGAACAGAGCTAAACTGAACTGAACTGAACTTAAACACTAAAACCTGAACCACACTGTTCCAGTTACTATGACCATTTATGTGAAGCTGCTTTGACACAATCTACATTGTAAAAGCGCTATACAAATAAAGCTGAATTGAATTGAATTGAGTATCAAATGGCCGTCAAATAAATTGTCTTTATATCCTCTGGTGTTTCAGATCTCCACAAAAAATGATGGACGCATTATCAGTCGTGACACAGCTACGGGACTTGGCATCAGAACCACAGAACCGGGAGGTTATTGTTCAGGACCAGGGTTGCCTTCCAGGATTAGTGCTGTTCCTGGACCACAAAGACCCTAAAGTGCTTTTTGCCACCCTTCAGGTACACTCAGACCTGATTTGTCAATTAACAAATCGTCACCTTGGAATTGTAAGTTCTATCTGCGTTCTGATATATTTCGAGATAATGAGCTCTAAAGTTTTTGCATTTCATATAGCAAAACATTTGTTTTGTTTTTTAATAAAACAAAACAAAACAAATCCCATAATGTAAGTAAGTTGTCATTTAATAAGAATATGTGAAAAACTAAATTTTGACAAAAATGTCAGATAGAACTTTATAAATATAAGGTGACGAAATGTTTTTATCTGTATAAATTAGAGTTTTAAAGTGTCTTCTCCTCAGGCCTTGCGGTACTTGGCTGAATCGCCCCGTAACATCAATACAATGAGAAATGAGCTTGGCATGATGGTCAGCCTGGAGTCATTGATAAAGAGGTGTTTTATTTTAAACTAAACACTTTTATCATTAGTAGTTTTTCCATTTATACCTGTAAATGTATAATGAAATCGAGCTTCTTCTATGATGTTCTGGAATTTATCAAATGAACTTTAAATTTTGATATACACTTTGAGCTTTAGTCTAATTATGCACACTGCATCAATGCACAAAATTCATTATCTTCCTTTTTCTATTCCCTCAAGGACCGATTTGACAACTGATATTACAGACCTAGCAAAAGAGGTTCATGATTTGTTAAACGCTCAATCACAGAGGCCGGGTTGTCAGACTCCAGAGCAACAGAAGAAGAAGAAGAACAAACCTCAGTTCTTCATTAACAGCACTAACAAGAAAGCCAAATCAGTTACCCTCCACATACAAGGCTTGGATGGGGCGGTATGTACAAAATGTGAAGCTGTCACGTGCACTTTTGATTGTTTCTTATGTTAGTGCAGATCGTAGACTAAGATGATGTATTGTTTTGACAGGATCAGAGAGGTGTGTGTGAAGAGGCTCTTCTAAGGGTTAAAGGTGTAATCAGCTTCACGTTTCAGATGGCTCTGAAGAGATGCACTGTACGCATTCGTGCTGATCTGCCTACTGAGGTATTACTTTTTTTTTTTAAAGGGAGGAGTTAAATAAGCACAGATGTGGTATTGCGATATGCATGAAAATTGTAAAAGCAAATGTGTTTATTTTTTTCTAGAGTCTGGCCACTGCCATTGCTTCCACAAAAGTGCTTTCGGCTAAGCAGGTTGTAAAAGATGAAAATGGAGAAGAGGTGGGTGCTTCTTTTGCTGATCCAGGGCTCAATAATATGTTGGTCTGGTCTGGTCAAGTCAGATTTTTATATTTTGCCATTTTAATGGTTATCAGTTTTGATTGATATTTGTAATATATGTGCACACACACGTATACACAAACAGATATGGGGGGGATAAAAGATCTACTGAAAATTAACAGATTCTCTGCATTTTCTAGGCATAGGTTTAAATAAAATAATTTTTTTGTTTTTATTAAAAAATGTATAACATTTTTTTTTTTAAATAACAATTTTTTTGTCATTTTTTTTTCTTTTACAAAAATTGTCATTTGCTCAGAATAAAGGCCCAATCAGACCAATGATGATTTTTAAGATAACAATAAAGACATAATTAAAAAAAAATAATAATTTAGGGCCCGTTTACACTAATGCGTTTTAGTTTGAAAACGCATAAGTTTTGCTACGGTTATGCCAACCGTCCACACTACGCCAGAGTTCTCGAGCGCCAAAAACGGAGCGTTTTGAAAACGCTGGAGAGGCCGTTTTCATTCTAAAACGCTGCTGCTCCGTTTCAGTGTGGATGATGGAAAACGGAGACATCTGAAAACGGATCCGGGGCTGCAGACATTCGCCTCTCTGATTGGGGCTTTTCCTCAATATTAAGTAGCCTAACACACACAGTTCAGCCCTGCATCCTCTCCTTGTAAATTCAGACTTCGCAAGTTTAATCAAGGCTGCAGTCTCTTCTTCTCAGTTTGATATGGAAAACAGACTATATCGAGGACACAGGTAAATCTTCAAAGGGAACAGTGTACTTTATAACTTTATTCACCCTGGCTACGTTGTTTCACTTTCTCAACAATAAAATGTAAACATGATTTAAGGAACTGTCTATCTTCGTTTTAATATTAGCAACTAAACAGACAGCAGAAATGTTGAGGCGTCGTGCTGCATAATATGAGCGTCATCTTCACTGTGTGGATATTTATAACAAAACGGAGCCGATAACAACTGTCTCCTTTCAATTTCAGTGAAAATACGAAACATACCCTCTCTTTTGCTGAATATCAATTTTACTAATCGATAATGGCCATTATTAAGTTTATACATTATAGGAAATAAAGACAAGTGATCAGTCACTATACAGAATGTAGGCTACGTGGTTACATTATTCATTAACTTATCTTTGCGCTCAGCCAAAACACGTTACCTGTGAACAAGTAATAGATTCCAATGACCAACGTCAGGGAATATGTCGTTAGATAAAGACAATAAGATGAATGAAATATCCCGTTTAATAAATATAGTGAGATTAGATCCAGCGGGAGATGCTTGATGAGAAGTTCGACTAGCACAGCTCTCAACTGGGTAGATGGGCTGCAGCGCTTGCCCGAGAGAGTGTGTGGTCACGTGATGTGCGTTTTCAGCGTTTTGGTGTGGACGGAGAGCAGTTCAGAAACGCTGGGTAAAACGCGAGTGTGGACGCGGATCGTTTACATTCTAAAACAACGTTTTAAAACTAAAACGCACTAGTGTAAAGGGGGCCTAAGACAGCAGAGTTCAGACCTCAGCAGCTATAATGATAAGGATGTAGAGAAACCATGTCCCAATCCCAATTCTAATTTTGTACCCCTTCCCCTTGGCCCTTGAAACAGAATGTGAAGGAGAAGGGCTTCAAAATATACCCATAAGAAATGGGACAGCACTACAGCACCTGCACAGCTCATCAAATATCATCGCGATCTCTTGCTTCATATGAGATTGATAATCCTATTGCTGTAGTTATTCCAGTTGTGTTTTTTTTGTATTTATTTTCAGAAAATCACTGAAGGCGTATATCATGTTATCATAACAATATAATGTGGCAATAAGCGTGTAACTATACTGTGCATTTACTCTGTGGCCATATTCATGTATGTAAACACAAAAACAACATTAACATTATACCAGACTCTGTAAAAAGGTCATTTTCAGCCACTAGACTTTTTGACAGGGTATTTGAGTGTCAGATGTGAAAGTTTATTGTGGGATGACTATAGCAAAATTTTGTGTTTTTTTTTTTTTTTTTTTTAAGCATGATTTTTAAACCTGAACGCAATTACGAAGGTATTAAAACATGATTGTTGTAAAAATTCTCAATATCAAAAAATGCTAATTTGTGCATTTCTTTACTTCTATGTGCTGCTGTTGTAGTGTATTCTGAGACATTTTCGTACCCCTTGGTTTCATGTGCAGTACAAAAAAATATCAGTTTCAACAGCTAAGGGGTAGAATTGGGATTAAGCCTAAGTTACACAAACTGGATTTATTGGTCAGATGCATTAGTAGCACACTAAACATATTTACTGATTATAAGGGAATAATGCCAAATGAAAAGCATAAACTAATATACACACTGTGATTATAAAAAAACAAACATGTCTTCCTAAATAAATTAAATAAAAAAATGTCTTAAGAAATGTTTACATTTGTTCATTCGTTAATTTCTTTTCGGCTTAGTCCCTTTATTAAGATGGGGTCGCCACAGCGGAATGAACCGCCAACTTATCCAGCATATGTTTTACGCAGCAGATGCCCTTCCAGCTGCAACCCATCTATGGGAAACTTTCATTCACACTCATACACGACGTACAATTTAGCTTACCCAATTCACCAGTACTGCATGTCTTTGGATTGTGGGGGAAACCCACGTGAACGCGGGGAGAACATGCAAACTCCACACAGAAATGCCAACTGACTCAGCCGAGGCTCAAACCAGTGACCTTCTTGCTGTGAGGCGACAGCACTACCTACTGCGCCACCGCATTGCCAGTTTTCATTTGTTGTGTTTGAAAAATCAGAATGAAGCAGGTCGCACTTACATTGTTTTCTATATGTTACTAAGCATCGTAAATAGACACAGTTCTTAGAAAATAATGTTTACAATTGTAAAAGACGTAGCGCAGCCACGTCTGGTGTTTGACCCCCTTTAATCCACCAAATATTGATTCCAAACCCAACACAAAAGATGTATAGAATTTAAATAAAGTATTTAAAGTTGTAAGAAATGTCATCAAAAGTTTACAAAATATTCAGATCTCACTGGTGAACTATGATTAGCCACTGACTACAAACCTTTTTATCAGTCTGTAAATTAAGTTGCATGTAGTTTAATATTGCTGTATCAAGAGATTTGACACATAAACCTGCTGTTATTTATTATTTACATGTCTGCACTTGATCACAGGTCCTCATTCCCCTCAGCACCTCTGGCTCAAAGGTAGAAGAAAACTCCCATCTGCCGGATTACCTGCCGGAGGAAGAAAGTCCAGAGAAAGAGCTGGACCGCGCGGTGTCTCGCACTGGTGCTAAACAAGACGCCGGCGGCAGCTGGTTGAACACCGCTGCCAGTTTCCTCACTAAAACCTTCTACTGGTGAAGACTTTACTTTCACAGACTGCTCCTGTCTGAGCTTGGACCTCAACTTTTAAAGGAAAACCGGGCCTAAAAAAGCAACAAGCACCAACTAGCACTAAGGAAAGTCTAGTCATTAAGCAACGTGCTTTTACAGGCTACAGAATGTGTCGTTCAGCTTATCAACATGTGTTTGTCTCATCACAGCTCTGTACTGAAAACTATTCATGTTGTACACTTTTGTATGTTAATGAAAAGATCTTTCTTTTTCTCTCTTTTGGGAGTCAGAGATATTCTTCTGTTTCTGCTGTCAGATTTAAATTGTATTCTCTTTCCAGCTGATTTTCTGTAAATATTTCCATTTTAGTGTGTCTATAAGGAGAACTTGTCGTCTAAAAATGGAAACAACTGAACTAGAAATTAAATGCACATTTGATAATGTTTTGTGTAAAAAAGGCATTTGATGGCATTTTTAAATCCTTAAAATATAGCATTTATAAAAGGACAATATCAATAACAAAGATAACAAACCAATAGTAAAAATATATATTTGATTGCAGAATGCTTTATTTGTGCTAACAATGCATAAATACCTTTAAAAGATAAACAAATGGTATGCTTTGAAACCACATAAATAAAAAACATTAAAACCAGAAAAAAAAATCTTGGTTAACTTTGAGCTGCAGTTTGTAATGACACAGGTTTAACATAATGACATGAGCGTGTTTATTATGACCTTTACAACAACAGCAAAAAAAGAAAACCACTTGCTCTATTTTAAAATCAGTCGTTAACAATGTCAACTACATGTACATCAGTCATCTTGTAACATCTGGTGGTAATACATAAACCCCTCATACACATATTAATAGGCAACTTTAGAGTTTCAAAAAATCCTGCTAATATTACAAGGCTCTCAAAACTGTCCTCTTATGTTGTCTTGCATTTCCAGCACTGTACTGTGAATGAAGCTTTGAGTATCAAAAGGAAAGCATGCGTTTTTATGACCACCATTACTGCAGTGCTATTGAAATGACTGCTTAGTATTGCACAATATAATAAAATAAGAATATAAATAATGCATATCTTTGAGAATAAAACATCTTCAAAATAGAATTTGAAATGCAGTCCTCGGATGTTGATAAGAGCTGTTCACGCTGATGTTAAAACAAGCTGCAGAGACAAAAATATTAATATCAGAAGCAAAGCTCAATGAAAGCAAACATACATTTACTACCACAGCGTAGCTACATTTTTATGCTCTTTCAAGTATTTTTAAAGCGTTAGATCACCCAAAAAATCGGACATTTGTCAATAATTATTCAACCTCATGTTTTTCCCAAACCCCTGAGACCTTTGTTCAACTTCAGAATACAAATTAAGATATTTAAGATTAAATCTAGGAGCTCTCTTCCTATAGATAGCCATGATCCTGAGACTTTTGAAGTCCAGAATAATCCTCAAAACAGTCCACATGTCTTCGGTTGTTCAATTGGAATACCATCAAGCTACGAGAATACTTTAGTGCACAAGCTACAACAAAAAATAACGCCTTTGTTCAACAGTTTCTCCTCAGTGTCAGTGTAGTAAACACATTCATGAGAGCAATGTGTTCTCTCTGTGTGTGTAGTTGCACTGTCAACGTATTATTGTGCACAGGCATTTAGGATGTACATCAGTGCACAGTATTCGTGAACATGTGCAATATACTGACACTAATAAGCAGTAGTAACAAAAGTATTCTCGTAGATTGATAATATTGATAAGGAAGTTCCCAGATTTCATCCAAAAAGTGGTGATTTGTGTTTTGAAGATGATCGTCTCTGGGTTTTGGAATGACATGCAAATTTTATTTATTTAGCTATATCTTTTAAGTTCAAAACTACTGCAAATACCTTAGAGGAACTACTTACATGAGTTTCTCTAGCTTGTAGTCTGGATCATCCAGAAGGCCAGACAGAGGCCTAACAGCTGAATCGGTGAGATTGTTTTCACTCAGGTCCAGCTCTTTAAGAATTGAGTGCTTAGATCTCAGTGCAGAGGCTAAAATGGTGCAACCATCCGCTGTGACCCCACAGTTAGTTAGCCTGTATAGGATAAATATTACTTAAATATAATTAATCAAAGAAAGTGTCAAATACATGTATGTTAGTTTTCATCAATAAATCACATTTAAATTCTGTCACTGCAGCATAGATAAATATAGAATTACCTCAATGTGTCCAGCTGACAGTGTGGATTTCCCAATCCAGTACTGAGGACTTTAATTCCCACATCTTGTAGATTATTCACTCCCAGATTCAGTTCTCTAACACTTGAGGATTTTTCCACAAGAATTGCTGCGAGTTTATCACAGGAGTCCGAAGATAAACCGCACTGACTCACACTATGGAGGGGAAAATGATCAAGTTTTTATTTCAATAAATGTTTAAGAATAATTTAAACAAATGTGTTATTTTACATAGCAATTTGAAATTTGGGGGCGGTTGAATTTTTAGTAACACTTTTACAAAAAGGTTCTATTTGTAACATTACACTGTAAAAAAATCAATTAGTTACCTTACATTACCTCCAAAGTGAGTTAATCCATTGTAACTTGGAACAATTAAGTTTACTTCATTTTATTCATTTATTCATTTTCTTGTCGGCTTAGTCACTTTATTAATCTGGGTTTGCCACAGCGGAAGGAACCGCCAACTTATTCAGCAAGTTTTTACGCAACGGATGCCCTTCCCTGGAAAGAATCCACACACACATTCACACACTACGGACAACTTAGCCTACCCAATTCACCTTTACCGCATGTCTTTGGATTGTGGGGGAAACCGGAGCACCCGGAGGAAACCCACGTCAACGCAGGGAGAACATGCAAAGTCCACACAGAAATGCCAACTGAGCCGAGGATCAAACCAGCGACCTTCTTGCTGTGAGGCGACAGCACTACCTACTGCGCCACTGCTTCACCCAGTTTACTTAATTTATGTTTTATAATATAATTATGCACATTGTTCTTTAAATTATGAGTTTACTCAACTTTCCTTAGGTAAAGTCGATTAAAGCTTTAAAGCACCAAACTTGTTCCTGGAGGGCCGGTGTCCTGCAGATTTTAGTTCCAACCCTAATCAAACACACCTGAACAAGCTAATCAAGGTCTTGCTAGGTATACTTAAAACATCCAGCCAGGTGTGTTGAGGCAAGTTGGAGCTAAACCCTGCTGGTACACCGGCCCTCCAGGACCGAGATTGGTGACCCCTGCTTTAAAGAAAACTTTTCAAAACGTTTTGTTTTTCACTTTTTAGAAAGTCAACTACTAAAGTTATTTTTGACCAAAATACAGATATAAAATGTTTTCTATTGTGTAAAAGATCAGAACATAAAATGTCTCATGATCCTTTAGAAGTAAGACGAATTGATGCTCAAGAAACTTTTCCTAAATATCAAAAACGGCTGTGATGATTTATATGTTTTGGAAACATAAAAACAAATTCTCCATTCAATCTAATGCTTCCTAAATAAAAGTATTAAAAGTAATGAATAGTATAGTAATGAATTATACACAACAGATGAAAGTCTGAAGTATTTTATTGTTAGGATGTTATTTAAAACCATTGTACTTACTCTAATTTCGTAATGTTGCCACTGTTGTTCCTCAGGACAGGAGAAAGATGCCCCATGCCTGCGTCTGTGAGCTCATTATAGCTCAGGTTCAGCTCTCTCAGATGAGATGGGTTTGAGTTCAGAGCAGCAGCGAGGACAGCACAACCTTCCTGTGTCACACCACACTCTCCTAAACTGTTGTGACAGACATTTATTTAAAAAATGCTTTTATTGTAATGTTAAGACTAGGCTTACACCTGCTGAAATGAATAGCAGTCACATTTCAGCATCTATTTTTATGCAACATAGATCAACCACATTGATCAGCAAGGCAATAGTATAATAGAGTGCATTGATTCAATATGCCAGTTCTCTCTCTCTCGCACACACAAACACTGTGTGGTGTACTCTGAAATACACACATGCAAAGTACTCATACTTCATGTGTTAGAAAATATTTTAACAAATTAAGTAAATGCCTTTTTAACATTTTTTTAAAATAAAACGTTAGAGAGGTTTATAGTAGAGTGAGTGAGTAACCTAAACCACCATTGACCTATTGATGAGTTGTGTTGTGGATGAAATATATGTATATTAATAATTATACTTGACAAAAAGAACCAATAGATATGTATTTAGATATGCTTACTGAAGCTTTAAATTATATTAATATCAATTAATATCAGGGCCGGAGTGGGAGTCCTTTTCAGCCCTGGAGTTTCAAGCCTTAGACCGGCCCACCTCAGTTCACTACTGTCTGTATTAAAATAAGGTCATTTCCAATTCAGTTTCTTCTGACACTATCACGTCTTTTACAAAGAAACAGCTGCTTTAGAACATCAAATGTTTTACATAAATATGAGGACAATAAAGGGTAGCTAAATCTCCAACACTATTCTTTAAAACATCAACAATGTCCTTACCTGCAATATCTGAATATATATTCTGTGCAAAATTGTTTATAGATATCCAGTCCTTTGTAACGGTGGTCACACAAAAAATAAAAATAAAATATGTACACCTACACAAGTAACACAAACAGTATTATGTCTTAATACTAAAAATGAAAAAAAAAAATTTACTCTGGTGAAGTTCAAACTCAGGTCAGCGGTGTCGTAACGCAACATGCTGACCACTGAACCACAATGCCACTGTTATGCTGGTGTGTTTGGAATACAAAATAAGTATTGCACTGTTATCTGCAAGACTCTTTTTAACCACAGTATTACTTTCTATGGCTTAATCTTTTTCTCCCCTTTTTAGATTTCTGATCAAGTTATTTCAGATTTATTAATGTAGTGAATCATCTGATTTTCATTGAGCAGGGGTAATATTCATTAATATTAATTATTCAAATTGATATTTTCACTAAGGTGTCGCAGTTTGGGGTCAAACTATAGTTACATCATCATTAACCTGCAGGCTGCATTTTGCTCACAGGGCTGCGAGAAAATAAATAAAAAGAGCGGACCTGCGGCAAAATAATGAATAAAAAGAGTGAGGCTATGGACAAATTAATAAATAAACGCAAAAAGTGCGACTGCTGAGAGTGCGAGCAGCTGGGGACAACGGTCCTCGCGGCCAAAAAAACGGACAGGACTGCCGGGAATTCTCCCAGTCCTCTCGATTAGCCAATCTGGGCCTGATTAATATCAACCTTTGCATCAACAAATGAGTTTTATAAAGTTATTGGTGCCCTTTCACTCCAGAGAACCTGACAGTAAGAGCTGAGTGATATGACACCATGCATAAACATGCATTAATCACTATTATTTAGAAGTTTACATGAGTTTGTGGCCTCATTACAAACTTTCACAATGTACACATTAGACTAAGATAGTGTTAAATAGACCTTATGTCTCCTTGGGGTGGTGTTGTTAAATATATTCAAATTCCATATATCCTGCAATTTGCATTCTGACAAGCTGTGAACACTGTGTGGTTATGCATGGCTGTCTGCTTCACTTTTGTACTCTTCCTGCATCTCCCCTTTTCAAAATAATAGTCCCATATATATAGTATTTTTAATACAAGCTAGATAAACTTAAGTGGGGAAAGTTATCATTGCTGTAATCTCAGCAGGAAACATTATGACCAATTAAACGTTGCCTGGGGTGTGCATATTAATAATGCAGTGTGGATCGTTTGACAATCAGAAATGCACAAACAATGGTGTTTAAGGCTCACAGTATGCAATATCTATTTTCTGAACACCTATTTTTTCAGTTATGCCTAGAATTTTATTCTTTGGCACCTTTAAATTCTGCATAGAAAATATAAACTTGCTTACAGTAAAGTTTCCAGCCTACAGTTGGAGTTCTTCACCACTTCAGCAAGTTTGGACACACCAAAGTCCTTAATGGGGTTCTGGCTCAGATCCAGTTCTCTCAGAGCAGCTGGGTTACAAACAAGTGCAGAGGCCAGATCAGCAACACCCACCTCTGAGATCTCACACAACGCCAGTCTGAAATCACAGGACTCACACATACTGTAAGTGTTTGTTGTGTCTTGAATGTAAATGATGATTTGAAACCCTCACCTTAAGATCTCTATTTTACAATGAGGGCTTCCAAGTCCATTTGAGAGCATTCTCACTGCTCCATCATATATTGGGTTGCCGCTCAGGTCTAAAGCTTTCAAAGTGGAGAAACTGGATCTCAGAGCTGAAGCCAAAAACTGACAGCATTTCTCAGTGAGCAAACCGTAACTTAGCCTGTGGGTGGAAATGTGAATATTTTGGTTATTTAGAAAAAGTTATTAATTTAAAAGTGTGCTAACATTGATATTGTTTGCAAGTGGGGTAAGATTAAAATTTTGTCTCTTGTGCTCACTAGGTGTTCTTGACCCAAAATATATACAGCACTCTAAAAAATACAGTGAAATACACCAGCAAAATTCATGAATGTTGTTCCAACACAAATCGATTAAGTTAACAAATTTAAGTAGGTTGAACATAAAAAATTAAGCTGTCTAAAAAAAACTCAAGAATTGTGTTGTTTCAACTAATTTTAAATAAATAGTTTGAACAAGCAGCAAAATCATCATAATTGTTAACATCATAATTAAAAATTTTGCTACATTTTATAATGTAATTTATGCAGCAATCATTACTACAGAAATCCTATCTAGTAGTATTTGAAGTTCAAAAAATACATTCTTGCATAAAAAAAGTTTATTAATAATAATAATATTAATAAATAATGCCAAAAATGCTTTTTCCAATACTTGAACTCATAAAAATGTGTTTATTTTAAAGTTATTCATTCATTCATTTTCTTTTTGGCTTAGTCCCTTTATTAATCAGGGTTCACCACAGTAGAATGATCTGCCAACTACGCAGCGGATGCCCTTCCAGCCGCAACCCATCACAGGGAAACACCCATACACTCTCATTCACACACACATACACTACGGACAATTTAGCTTATCAAATTCACCTATAACATGTTTTTAAATTTGTGGAGGAAACCGGAGCACTCGGAGGAAACCCACGCAAACACGTGGAGAACATGCAAACTCCACACAGAGATGACAACTGACCCAGCGCTACCCACTGTGCCACCGTTCCACCCTTTTTAAGTTATAAATAAATAGATTTTTTTGTGCATGTTTATTTTTTTGACAGTCAATTTGAATATACTTAAAAGTTTCAGGTATGAATTAAACCTAATAAAGTTTTTTTCTAATTACTTTTTCCGGGTTTTCACCTTTAATGGACAGAATAGTAGAGATTACAGACAGGAAAGTGAGGGGAGCAGAGAAATAAAAAGGATCAGCAAAGGATCGTGAGGCGGGAATCAAACTTGGGTCACCGTGACCACCTCAGTGCCATGTGTTGACACACTAACAACTCAGGCTCATTCTGAAATTGTAGTCCTGTGGACGTTTCTAGAGACCACAAAATACATCCCGCAAGGTAGGTATTTTTTCAGTTTTTGTTTTAGCTAATCCACAAGAGGCCGATGTGTGCGCTTTTTCATATCTCAAATTTCTCTCGTGAGTGCCGTTCACACCTGCTGTTCTCATGTAGACCCACCAGAGACCGCTGTCGACCGACCATCTGTCTGGCTGACTGAATGACCGACTGGCAGGATGACCAATCGACTGACCCACCCTCCTCCTTCCCTAAACCCAACCAAATTTATCGATTAACCCGTCCACCCACTTACTTCCCTAAACCCAACCGACGATTTACAAAAGCTGTCCAGAAAAAAAAAGCCCTCGTCTGATTTTTACCACATTCTCACCCTGCTATTTACTTGTTCATTTTCTTTTTTGGATTCTGTTTTTGTCTTACCTGGTTTCTTTAACCTCTCTTCCCCAGACTTAAACCCCGTTGTCATTGTGGTCAACTCCTCTCTGGCTTCGATGTACACGGCGAACTAACTGGACAAACTGGTTGTGGCGGGAAAGCCTTTCACACAGAAGTAAGCAGTCAGCTGGTAAGTGCGAAAAGAAACGGCGTCATACCGCCCCATAGTGTTCGTTTAAAAAAATTAAATGCAGCCATGCGTACCTCCAGCTACATAATTTGCGGTCTCCAGAATTGTCCACAGGACTACGTTTTCAGAATGAGCCTATGTTGCACACTAACCCCTAAACTACTGGTGTTGACATTTGACAACAAAATTAACGAACCCAAAAAAGAGAGCAAAAATTACCACAGTGTTTCAAGCCGAGAGACTGGAAGCTGGATCACATCCGAAAACTTCTGCACTCCATCATCTCCTGGATTATTCCAGTGCAGGTCGAGTTCTCTGAGGTGAGACGGGTTGGACTGTAGTGCTGAGGCTATTGCAAGGCTTCCTTTAGCTGTAACTCTGCAGTCCTTGAGTCTATGATTATAAAGAATGCAAAAAATGTGATCATGAGGAAAAAACTAATTCCACATTTGGTACTGGTAACTTCTGTTGATTAGTTATTTGAGGATGTTTAATCTTACAGCTACTGACCTCAGTATCTCAAGACTACAGTGCTGATGTCTTAAGTAATCAGCCAGTATTTTAATTCCTGATTCTCTCAGACTGTTTTCACTCAGGTCCAGTATCCTAAGGATTGGCAGTTTTGGGAGCAGTCCTGATTCCAGAATAGAGCAGCCGCGTGTGGTGATTCTGCAGTATGAGAGCCTGAGGAGACAGTAACACCATCACATGACTCCTTAAAATATGATTTAACAATTCCGAAATCACAATATTTGTAGGATAAAAGCCAACCTAATTATTAGACAAGGTAGTGTAAAAGAGTTTTACCTCAGTTCCTCCAAATTACACTGCGTGTTTTTCAATCCGGCTGACAGAAGCTCCAGTCCTTTGTCTCCAATGGAGTTATTGCACAGATCAAGCACTCGTACGTTGGAAGAACTGGACCCAACACTGGAGGCAAGAGCTCTGCAGCATCTCATAGTAAGACCGCAACTATCCAGTCTGAAATATAATGTAAATATCTTAAACAAAACCCAAACACACAACCCTTTGAAAACAACCACACAGATAGGATCAAAACCCCAAAACTCACAGTGCTGTTTCTGAAGCTTTGACCACTGGCAATAATCTGATGAGTCCTTCATCTGATCTCACGTATTTCTTTAGGTCGAACGTATCCAGCTTTTCATCTGATGTGAGTAACACAAACACTAGGGCAGACCACTGCGCAGGGGAGAGTTTAGAAAAATGGCCTGAGTTCAAGAAGCGCTGGACCTCCTTGACCAGAGAGAGTTCGTTCAGTTCATTGAGGCAGTAAAAGAGGTTTATGGACTTCTCAGGAGAGGATGTCTCCTCTATCATCTTCTTGAGGTATTCAGCTGTTTCCTCAATGCTCTGATAGGCTTTGCAACCAGATTGGGAAAGCAAGCCTTGTAAAAGACTCTGATTGGACTCCAAGGAAAGGCCCAGGAGAAAGCGTAGGAAAAGATCCAGGTGTCCACTGTCACTTAGTAGAGCTTTATCAATTGCACTTTTATGCAACTCAAACAAGGTGGCCTCTTCATGCTCTTCATGATCAAGAACGTTGTTTTGGTGAACTTTAAACATGTAATACACATACATGGCTGCCAAAAACTCCTGAATGCTCAGATGGACAAAGCAATACACCTTATTTTGAGTCACCGCAGACTCCTCCCTAAATATCTCAGAGCAAACGCCTGAATACACCACTGCCTCCTTTACATCAATCCCACAACCCGTCAGATCTTCCTCGTAGAATATCAAATTGCCTTTTTTTAGCTGTTGGAAGGCAAGTTTACCGAGTTTCAAAATCATATCTTCATCTTCAAGACGTGGGTTGTAATCTTTAGCATATCTCATTTTTTTCGTTCTGGTTTGGATGAGAAGAAAGTGTGTGTACATTTGAGTGAGAGTTTTGGGAATCTCTCTATCTTCAGCTGCGTTGAACATTCGCTCTAAAACTGCAACCGAGAGCCAGCAGAAGACTGGTATGTGACACATGATGTACAGACTTCTTGATGACTTTAGATGTGTGATTATACGGCTAGAGAGGAGTTTATCGTTGATTTTCTTGTTGAGGTATTCCTCTTTTTGAGCATCGTTAAACCCTCGAACTTCAGTCACCAGGTCGATGTACTCAGGAGGAATCTGATTGGCTGCTGCTGGTCGGGATGTGATCCAGATAAGAGCTTCAGGAAGCAGGGATTTACTGATGAGGTTGGTGAGCAAAACATCAATAGAAGCTGGCTGAGTTGAGTTACTCAACTTTGCATTGTTCTGGAAATCCAAAGGAAAGCGGCATTCATCCATGCCGTCGAAGATAAAGAGAACTTTATGGTTTTCATTTTTAAAGCATGATTCCATTTTGAAGTATTGGAGAAGTTCTGTCAAGCTGAACTGTTTTGCTTGCATCAGATTCAGCTCTCGAAATGGCAGTGGGTAGACAAACTGGATATCCTGATTAGCGTTGCCTTCAGCCCAGTCCAGTATGAACTTCTGCACCAAGACAGTTTTCCCAATGCCCGCAACTCCCTTAGTCATCACACATTTTATGGGTCTGTTTTGTTCTGGTGAGTGTTTGAAAATGTCATTGCATTTGACTGGAATTTCCACTGTGGTTTTTCTCCTCAATGCTCTCTCAATCTGTCTCACCTCGTGCTCTTTGTTGACATTCTCATTTTCTCCCTCTGTGATGTAAAGCTCGGTAAAGATGTCATTCAAGAAGGTGGGATGGGATCGTTTAGACATGTCATTGTGAATCCATTGAACTTTTACTTTCAGTCTTGATTTATAGCTTTGTTGGCACTCCATGATTAAACCGGAATCAGGAATATTGCTCTTGAGATACCTGCAAACATACATTGACTATGAAAATGACTGAACTGTTGCATACTGTCCAAGTTTGGGGTCAGTGTAATTTTAAAATATGTTTATATGTTTATATGTTTATGTGTAAATGTTTATGTTGCAAGGACTCATAAATTAAATTAAATTGATTTAAAAAGTGGCATTAAAGATATTTATAATTTAAGAACAATCATACAATCAAATGCTGTTCTATTATTCATCAAAGAATGCTGAAAAAGGGTCATGGTTTCCACAATAATAATTAACAGCAAAACAGATATATTTTTTAAGCAACAAATCAGCATATTAGAATGATTTCTGAAGTATCGTGTGACAATGAAGACTCACATGACAGAATTACATTACAATATTTTGCAATATTACAGTTTTTAATGTATTTTTATTAAATAAATACAGAATTAATAGTCATATGAGACTTTTTCCCCACTGGCACAGTCTTCAATGTTGAAAGAAACTGGTTCAGTCATTGAAACATTGCCTTTGGTGGACAGATGATGCAGCTTGCTCTGCTTAACAGAGCTTTAAAATATGTATATGATTTAATATATGATTTGTCTTTATTTATGCATGTAGCAAGTGAACATTAAAATAATTTTAGATCATTTTACTTTAAATAATATGATAAATTCTAAAGAATGAATGCAACATTTTTCATATTAATCTTATTTTAGCCATTTTGAAGTATATTATAAGATACATTTTAACTCAGAAGATGTTTCTTACCTTTTTACTAAATGTATGTGGGAAATTGCTTCAAATCAATTGCATCCAGAGTAGAACTGGCACTTTTGAAAGGAACATGGCTGTGTTTATTTTGTGAAACTGTCCTAGAAAGAGACAAAGTGTTTCAAAATGTGTTCATTTATTTCTTAAATTATGGGAAATACATTAGCACATTTTCTCACCATGGACTGAATGAAGATTGAGTGCTTAAATTTCTCAGATTCATTAAAACTGCCGCTTCACGTTTACATTATTTCTTCAGTTAAACAGGAAATACAATGAAAACAAGTTTATTCAAAGAGTTTGACTCATGATAAATGGGCAGACAGACCTAGGAACTATAAATGCACAAGAACAGATGACTAAATAAGACTGAACAATGGAGAGATTAGTGACACAGACATGACATCAACAAGGGGAAAAAGGATTTCAAAATGTAAGACTGGTATGAAAACATGTGAAACAGGAAAAAGATTTGAAAAACCCAAAACAAACCACTTTAACGTTTACTAAGAGACTGCAATGAAAGAGATTTTACAATGTAAGCTAAAGAAGTTGATAAAGTACACTGACTTTTAAAGGACTTTCTCTTAATCTTTAATCTTGGTGTGCAGTGTGAAAACTCATGTCGCAATTTACAGCAAAAAAATGAGGAACCACCAACTTTATGGAGAAGTTGACCAGTTTCTAACTCTCATGTGGTCTTCATTTGTGGTTTAAATAAACTTGTTTTGTGGCTAAACTGTATAAACAAGTAACTTTAATCAGTAATCTTCTATATATACTTACAAGTGAGGTAAGTGTGGAGGTTGTTGTATTTTATCATCAATATGATAATGTTTAGCATATTTAAAAACATTATGAACGTGACTTTTATATGTATTCATTTGATGCAGTGGGATTTTGAGGACACAAAAAAAATTCATCAGTGCTTATTGCCTAACAAAGCAGGGTTTCATCAAACATGCTTTGAGCTGCTCATAATGCCAGTAACAAAAATTATTATTAATAATAATAATAATACACTGTTTGGTTCTGTTGATCTCAAATTACCATGCAGCTTTATTTGGTTTCATGTGTTTTCCTGTATTTATTTGAGTTTTGCTGTTAAATTTACCATAATGTAAGGTAAAGTAATAGTAAACACGTAATGGATTGTACTGAACATTCTACAAAGAAAATAATTTGTAAATGTAAAGATTTTTTATTTTACCTTCTGTTGGTATAGTCGAAAGTGTGTATAATCTAATTGAAAAAAAATACCTTTTAATTAAAATGGTCTTTCTATACATTGGAGCTTATTATTACAAACATACCAAATCCAATATGTTAGAAAAACTACGACTAAATTAAGTAACACATAATTCAGTAGGTTATAAAAACATATTGTAAAACGCTTTAAGCATTTTTCATTGTAAAACTGAAATATTTAATCTCCAATTTATCTATTTATATCCAGCTCAAACAATTTTAAACTGTTGTAAAGAAAGTACTTACAAGACAGGCAAGACGAGTGTATCCAAACAGCCCGCAATGCTCTACTTTCAGTTAAGAGATTTCACTGCTGTCAGTCAACAATCACGTGGTCAAAAAGAGGAGGGGTTACATCATGACTCAGATTTTTGCCATTGACTGTAAAAAAAAAGGTTCTTGCCTTTTATTATTACACGTGCAAGAACCTCCTTTTGTGTAATACATTTAGATGTCCATGAAGCATTTCATTAAAAAAGAATAAATAACAAAGGCATTTTAATTGTTTCTACAGCTTTGACATTTTTCAATATTCAATAAAGCTTTCTTAGATTTGCTTAGTGATTCCAAAAGATAACAGGCTTAAAATATATATCAAATTTGATAATAATAATAATAATATAAACAGTAGATATTCTGAAAAATATAAACTAACATGGTACAGCTTAACCTTAAGCTAACTAAATTTAACTAAATTAAAAAGTTATTAACATTAATAATAATAAAAGCCAAGAATTGTAAGAAGTATGTCAAACAATACAATTTGTTTATTTTATGAGAAGTTTTTTTTTTTTTTTTTTTTGCAGGCAACATTTTGCCCCACTTATTCAGAGACTAACAAACATTTTATAGATGTTCAGTGTTTATTTATTGTTCATTTATTAATTAAATACACTCTAAAAATGCTGGCTTGTTAACTCTACTTTGGGTCTATATAGCCAAGTGCTTTTTTCCAATTAAATTTAAATTACACTTTCTTACTCATCAATTGAGTTTGTTCACATTTTACCCAAATTTGGGTTACAACAATCCAGCATTTTTGTATTGTGTAAAACAATATAATTAACTATAAAATCACGATTTGAATATTTCTATAAACAGGGTGCGAATTACAGGGGGGTTTAACGCTTGTCCTTAAAGGACATTTAAACAATATATATGGGGCGTCAGTCCTTTATAAACACTAAATACCTTTCTTCAATATTATCTTTCTTAAATATTAATAATTAAAAATGTGTAATATATACAATTATGCATAATAAATTAGATTCAAATACGTAATTTAAATACATTCATAAAATTGATTATTGAAGCATGCTTTTTATGTATAAAAAAGTTTAGTAGTTTGATGTAAAATAATAATACAGTTTTGCCTCGTACAGTCCATGAAGACTGTAGAATGTACAGCCCCCTCATCATCAATGTCGTACACGCAAAGTAGCAATGCAACAAACACCAGATTTAGCATTTTCTGCATTTAAAATTTTTAATTTTACTTTAATTTGACTTTTTTTACTAAGTAGCCTACTTTTTTGTAAAATAAAGTGTCATAATATTCCAAATCAATCAAATAATAAAGGGATTTGCATTCCACACCATTAAAGTTCACGTTATATCTGCCCCGTCTGTATGTGAATAGAAATTAATTTGATTAAGCTATACTTCAGTAACCCTGCCTGGACGGTGTCAACTAGAGTTTGTTCTAGTACAGACAGTCTCTCTCTCTCTCTCTCTCTCTCTCTCTCTCTCTCTCTCTCTCTCTCTCTCTCTCTCTCTCTCAGTCTGCCTCCCGGTGTGAGCTTGATGATGTTGGACTCAATCAGAGCTGGACTTCAGCCAGACACAAACAGGAGGATGTGCGTATGAAGTCCTGAGCCCCAGAACATCAGTCAGAGCAAAGCAAAGTAAAGCACACTCCTGAAGGAGACCATGAAGCCCAAGTCTCTCTGCGTCCCGCGGTTTGGCCTGTTTGAGGAGTGCAGATACCGGCGGCAGGTCGATGCAGCCGCGCCGGAGCAGAGTGTCGATCAGCCGGCGGAGAAGAAGAAGAAAAAGAAGAAGAAGAGTCCCAGAGAGCCGCAGTTTACAGCCCTGACCGAGAGATCACCTTACGAGCTCTTGCTGGAGGACGACAGCCAGCACACACTGAAGGAGGACAAGAAAGTGAAGAAGAAGGAAAAGTACAAGAAATACAAAAAGGTATACACTTTTTAAAACTGCTGTTTTGTTTTCCTGAGCTGATTATTTTCTGCAAACATACCAATTAAAGTTCGGTAACACTAGAGTTAGTTTGACGTTTGAGCCAAAAATATATGTCAGATAGACATAAATATGCGCCCTTTGTACAAGGCATAATTTCTCAATTAAAAAAAAAAAATAACCATACAATTGAATTAAACAATTCAACCATATGAAATTATACAATAAAACCAGGACCAAATTGTTCACAAGACTCTGTTTTTTAGATTAGCACTTTATTTATTTCAGTAATTATTTTATTTTACAATAATAACTTTTTATAGTAAAAATTGTAGAAGTCAATAAACTCTGAGACCATTTGAGATCAAATATTCAAAATCAACTCTAAATGTGTCTAAATATTATTTTCTATGATGCACAAGCTTTGTTTTTTAGTTATGCCTTTGTTGATTTTATGGACAGTAATGAATCCATATTTTTATAATAAGTCGAATACACTGTAAACACTTCAATGAATTAAATTCTGACATCAACATAATTTAAATATTATTTTGTATGATGCACACAAAATGCTATTTAAAGGGATAGTTCACCTGAAAATGGGGGGGGGGGGGGGGGGTTTGGGGGGCTGGGATGCAAACATCAAAAGTTCGGTACCACTTTACAATAAGGCTGTAAAGGGATAGTTCACCCAAAAATGTAAATTCTGCCATTATTTACGCTGTCCTTATTTGTTCCAAATCTGTTTTATAGTTTCTTTCTTCTGTTGAACACAAAAGGAAGCTGGAAATGACTTCCAGGCTATTTGTTTTTGCTACTATGGTAGTCAATGGTTACACTTTTTCAGCTTTAATCAAATATAAGGTTTTGTGTGTTCAACATAAGAAAGATACTCATAAAGGTTTCAAACGTAAAAGTGAGTAAATAGAGCAAATTTGTGATGAACTGTTCCTTTAGGTCAGTTTATTCACTAACATGAACACACAATGATCAACACATTTATTGCAGTATTTATTCATGTTTGTTAATATTAGTTAATAGAAATAAAGTTGTCCATGGTTAGTTCATGTTAACTCACAGTCAGTAAATGTTAATAAGCATGAATTTAGATTTTAATAAGGCTGAACTATGATTATTAAATGCTGTTTGAGTATTGTTTATTATTAGTTCATGTTAGTAATGAGTAGTACTAATGAAACCTTTTAGTAAAATGTGACTAAGTTCTGAGTCTATTTTAAATAAAATCCTACAGAGGGGTCATTTATTTGATCAAAGACAACAAAAATAGTGATATTCTGAAATATTACTACACTGTTAAAAAATGTAATAACAACTGGGTTTCATCTGATGGCCAATGGTAATTGTTACAGACTTCAGAGTCCCATGATCTTTGAGAAATCAATTCGCTGATTTGGTGTGCAAATTATCAACGCAGCAGCAAATGTGCTGCCTCTGTGAGACATGGTTTCAGTACTCTTTGATAATTAAATGAATAGCTGTTATTTGATCTTTAAAACTACAATATTAATTTGTGAAGCCTGAAAGTAAAGTATTGAAAAACAAAAGTTTAGAGACACAACTTAAATTTAAAATATTCCATAACACTATATTGTGTTATTGCTACTAAATCAATGTACTCCAGCAATGGCTAATGTTTTTTTTAACATTATGTATTTTCATTATTTATACATTATTGTCATTATTACAGCATACAGGCAATTTTCTATTCTTTTTCTTTACAATATACCTGTAAAACAAGTTTAATATTTCTGGTCAATTAAATTTCCCCATTCACATCTGACTATTAAGTAATGAAATCATGCATTCAAAAACAGAATGTTCCTTGCTATAAAGGGGGTATTGATAATACAATTATGCACAGTGAAAAATCCCTTTTTATCTGATGCTTTGAGTAATCATGTACATTTTTTCAAGGGGGTAATTTTATCTAGTGAATATGCTGACCCTGTGTTAGATAATAGGTCAGAGATCAATGGGTGACCTGTCTGGAGTCTTAGACAGTTTCCTTATCAGATTCAGCCAATTAAAACTGACGAGACTGAGTGTAAATAGAGCATCTTTAGTAAACACCGTCCCTCTGTAATCCACTTAAAATCTTTTTCCCCCCAAAGCATTTAGAAGCAGCTAATTGCTAAGCGTGAGCTTTATAAATAATATAAAGTGAAATATAGTGAAATGTATAAAAATGTCCAAGTAAAAATACCACACACATTCTTTACAGTTCACTACTGTAATATGCACTGCATTGTTGATTATTGTTGATTATTTTTGCACTGCATTGTTGATTATTACTTTTACTGTAATTTACTGCATATTAGAAATGTGAGATATTCCACTGTAATCAAAGTAATCAAGTTCTGCTTCTGTAGTTGAAGACAAAATTGAGACAGTTAATAAAAAAAATATTAGTTTACATCTTGTGTCACAAAATGCATTTAGATAATAGATTGATAAATAAAAATTTCTTTTGTAAACCATTTCAAATGGATTTAATAACAATGAATAATAAAAATACTGCAGTACATGATCTCAGAATTTATTATATTAAATTATATTATTATATATAGTTTGGAATTTATTAAAATTAATAAAATTTTAGTAATAGTAAATACTAAAACTAATAGTTTTGTACTGCCAGTGTAAAATGTAAATAAATTACAGGACGGTAAAAGTACTGTAAAAATTGACATTCTGTTAAATTATGTGGTAAAGGGCATTTTACTATAAAAAGAAGTTGCCATAAGGCTATTTTACTGTGAAATTGTGGTAGGGCCCTTCTACTGTAAAACATATTTACAGGTAAGTTACTGTATAAAGAGGAAGTTGTGGTAAATTGCTGTGTTGTTGACCCATAGTACATTGGTTTGAAACTCATCCTTCCCACAACCACAAAACAGAATACATTAAACTTTTATTAATAATGTATAATTGTGGACGGCTACAGAACAAGACTCAAAACATAACAAAAATGTTTAGATTTGCATTAAATAAACACAAGTATGGTGGATTTATGTAACTAAAAAGTGACCCCAAAAGAGACATTTTACTTGTTTTATGCATTGGAACACAGTA